GGCCTAAGACAGGGCTCTCACCCTCCTTTCACCCACATCAGAGTCCCTTGACGTTGCCCATCGTCGACAGCCTAAAGCCTTCGACCATCGATGTGACTTGTCTCACGTCAGTGTTTTGGGGTTGTGAACTTGTCTAAGACCCCCCATAATTAGACATACAAATTCAAAACTCACATAGTTGGGATTGAACATAAGAAGCCTTCTCTAACTAAACAGAGAAGGGGGAGATGCCAGAAGCCAGGACCCTCGCCCTTACCCTTACCCCCTACCTTTCCCCACCTGCACAATGTCCTCTGAAGCTTGGCAGCTGCAAGATCCTGCTTAACAACTGCAGATAGACTCAAAGCAGAGTACCATGTCTTCTTAAGAATAGCAGGGAGACCATAACTCAAGCAGTGTACCATATCTTCTGAAGAACAGCAGGTGGATCATAATTCAAGGCAGTGTACCAAAGCACAGGCCAAGAAGATTTTGTACCTTTCCACCACCTGGACCCTCTTACCCCCTCCCCTTGTAAAACATGCTATAAAAAAGCATTTCATGTTCAAAAAAAAAAAGAAATTAAAAAAAAATACTCATTTAAAAAAAAAAAAAAAGAAGTCATGTTCTTTGAAATTCCATCTTAAACGTTTAATTATGGCTCTATTTGTTGGCCTTGATTCAAATCAGCCCAAGATGAAGGACAAAGAGCATCCCATTTATCATTATACTTCTCAATCCAAATACTTCTTTATTTTTATTTCTTCAGGATTCAAGAGGTGCTACAGCATTTTTAGGTTTCACTGCTGCAGGTTTTGTCGTATTCCAGGGAAATAAAAGAATCCATTTGAGAAAATGGTAAGTACATCCTTCAAAAAAAATGACTTATCTTTTTCTTAATCTTCTTCCTCTTTCCCTTTAGCATTATTTTTCCTTCTAAAACTGTCAGGTAGTTTCCTAGTTAGCTTTAACTGTCAACTTGATGCAACTTAGAAAAGTATCTAGTGTGCTTGTTAGCTTTTGTCTAGTAGACAGAAATCCTAGACATACCTGAGAAGAGTGACTCTCAAGGAACTTCATCAATAAAAACTGCATTAGACCACAGGCATATTTGTAGGTCATTTTCTTGATAGCTAATTGATGTAACATGGCCTATGCCCACTCTGTTTTGTAGTATCCCTGAGCAGGCAGGCTTGGGTTGCATTAAAAAAGGAGCAGAACAAGCCATTGGGACAAGCAAGCAATGTTCCTTCCGGGTCTGTCCTTCAGTCCCTGCCTCAAAAGAAGCATACCATATTTTTAAAATATTGGAACCAGAAGTAGGGTCTTGCTGGGACACACCTGAACATGTTGGTTTTCAGAGAAGATTGTTTCAGGATTTTAGAGCTTTGGGCCACAAAATAGATTGAGTGTTTAAAGCTTAATGGGCTATTCTGTGAAAAATTGCAAAATAATCTGAAAGCAATGTAAACAATGAGGGCTTGGCTTGTGAAGTTTTCGAAGGAAGAAAAGCTTTTATCAGAGTTGTTTGTGTGATACTTTGTATTCAGACTCTGTGAAAGAGAAACCTTGTTTGCTTTAGTGGAACAATTAATAATGTTATCTGGGACAGGAAAATCATTTGTTACTAATAAGACCACCGTCACTGAGGTGAAATACTTCTGGGAAGTATTTTCTTAGGATCAGCACACAGACGCTGTAATCCAGAGAGAACAAAACTCCATCTCATCCTGAAAGCCCAAACATGGTAATACGTAAGAGTTTTTGAAGTCATGAAAATGTCATGAAGAACAGCTGAGGCTTGACACTATTGGGCAGGTTCAGAGTCCCTGGAGAACATCTAGGAATAGCCATTTGTGATGATACAGCCTCAGTTGCAGTAGAAACTGGGATTGAAAAAGTCATAGAAAAAAACCCTGAAAATTGGAGGCTAGGGATAGGACCAGGGTTCCTGGAGAGAATCTAGGAAGCTACTAATATAGCTATAGTGTCAGGTGATCGTGGTTGAGCATCCACGAGCAGTGGCAGAGGTCGAGTGGAGCACGCCGAGCCTCTCCATGTGCTGTTGATGATGGAGTTGGAGTGATGGTGTTGCTCAAGCCCTTTGGAGCCAAAAGATAGTGAGTGCGTCCCAGACATTGGACAGTGAGCTATTTTCCCAGTTTGATTTTGATTTGATATGATTGTTCCTGTGCCCTGACATGATTTTTTTTTAAAGAAATACTATACTATACCATGCCATATTTTGGATTTTACAGAAACCAACAGTAAAATTTCTGGATTTATGAAGAGAATGCTGACTTTTAAACTACTGCAGGTTTTAAAGACCATATGGGTTTATTTTATTAAAAGTGGGATTGTGTTTTATATTGTGATGTGAACATGAGACATTGGGCACAAAGTAAAAAAAAAAAAAAAAAGAAAGAAAAGAAAAGAAAAGCAGTTATTGCTTAACAATAGTATGTTTGTTGTCAAGTTAACAAAGGGTAGATTCTACTACGTAGCTTTTGTCATTTGACCCAAAATTCTAGGCATACACAAAAAGAAAAAACATGACTTGAGGAATTTTTTGTCTTAAATTGCCTCTGATTATGCCTATGGGGGCATTTTTCTTGATTATTAACTAATGTAGAAGGGACCAGCTTACTCTTAGTGGTGCCAGCTCTGAATAATGGACTGGAACTGTATAAGAAACGTAACAGAGGAGTAAACTAGGAAGCAGCATTCCTCTGTGGTCTCTGCTTTAGCTTCTGTTTCCCGGTTCATGCCTTGAGTTCCTGCCACACTGCTTTCCCTAAGCTCTTACCTGAACGTGTAGAATGAAATTGATCATTTTGCCCTGCAGGTTGACTTTTCATTATTTCTTTGGTCATGGTGTTTATCACAGAAACTAAAAAGAAGATCACATTGGCCTATGGACATTTCTGTGGAAAATTGCCATGATTATTAATTGATATAGGAGGGGCCAAGTGACTGTGGACAGCACCATTTCCCAGGCAGTTAGTCCAAAACTATAAGAAAGCTATGATCCCTGCAGTACTGATTAGTTGATAAGTAGATTTCTTGCTTGGTACTTGCTATATGGAATACAGTGCCTTCAAGTTTCTACTTTGAGTTTGTGCCTTAACTTCTTTCAATGAGGGATTGTGTGCTGGAATTAGAACCTGCAATAAACTTTTCTTCCCTTAAATTCCTTTTGGTCAGAGTATTTTTCATACCAATAAAAATAAAAGTAAAACAAGTAGTAACCATTTACCTGATTGCTTCATGATTGGTAGATTCATCACCTGTAAAGAAAAAGCAGAATTCTAATAGGCTTCCAAAGAAGGTCTTTAACCTTTAATAGTTCTTAAATTATTCCAAAAATAGAAACATAAAGTATTTCCAAACCCCTCCTATAAAGCCCTTATTACTCAAATATAAAAACCAGGTAACCACATATGTTCACTCTTTGTGTGTGTGTGTGTGTGTGTGTGTGTGTGTGTGTGTGTGTGTGCCAGTATCTCTGATAAACATAGATTCAAAAAACCCCAATAAAATACTTACAAATTGAATGCAGGCATATATCAAAATGAGTATTTCTCATGATCAAGTTGGCCTTATCCCAGTGATACGAGTTCAACATATATAAGAAATAAATGTAATAAAGCAAATAAATGGACAAAAAAATACAAGAATCATATGATCATCTCAATAAAAGCAAAAAAAGAAAAAGTCTTTGATAAGATTCAACATGCCTTCTAATAAAAGCCCTAGAACAAGTAGGAATGCAGGAAACATATTCCAAAATAATAAAAGTTATGTATGACAAACCTATGGCAAACATCATCCTAAATGAAAAAAAAACCATTAATCAACCCCATTAAAATCAGGAATGTGAGAGGACTGCCAACTATCCCTACTCCTCATCCGTAATGGGATTGAAGCATTAACCAGAGCAATAAGGCAAGAGAAGAAAGAAAAGGGATACAAATAGAAAAACACTAAGTCAAATTATTCCCAATTGAAGATTATATTATTTTATACCCAATGTTCCCAAAATTTGACTAGAAAAATTGTAAAAACTATCACTAATTTCAGCAAAGTATTAAGATACATAATTGACTTACAAAATTCACCAGTTTTTGTACATACTAGTAACAAGAATGCTGAGAAAGAGATCATGAACACACTCCTCTTCACAGTTTCTCAAATAAAATAAAGTATTTAGGATATACATAATCAACCAGGTGAAAAACCTCTACAGTGAAAACTTCAAATGTGTGAAAAAAAGAGAATAAGGAACATACTAGAATTTAAAGATCCCCCCAAGCTTATAGCTTGGTAGAATTAACACTGTGAAAAAAGACTTTCCTACCAAAAACAATTTACTGATTCAATTCAATCCCAATCAACATCCTCATCTCATCCTTCACATAAATAGAAAAAAAATCCTCAAATTGATATGGAACAACAAAAGACCTAGAATAGACAATTAGTCCTAGATGAGTGTCTATTTCTATAGATTCTACTCAAATGCTAGGTGCATCTAAGACCCCACTTTTTACATCTGTTTCTATTGTATCATTGATTTTTTTTTAATCAGTCATACTTTCACTTCTCCTTTGTACCCATTTGTCCTCTTCTTCCACAGTTGGAAATACCAGAACTCACTCCTAAGTTCACTGAGTCTCAATGTATTCATCCATGGAATGGGTATTAGTTGTAAATGATTGTCTTAGAAAGGGTGAAGCATTTGAAGGAGAAACAAATGCAATGTTTACAAGAATGCTTTGAAAATAATCTGCTGTAATCTGATAACTATAAATTGTTATATGATGTTGCTGTTTGGTTTTCTTCTCTAGATTTTCAGCATCTGACAAAGAATCTTCAATGTGTTTACTTCAGTCAATTCCAGGGTAGATACCATAGATATTCCAACTTAGTTTGAGAAGCATCGGTAACTTGAAGACTGCCCTCATTCTATCCCAGGACTACAAAAGTCTTGGAAGACGTTATGTACTCAGGTTTTCAAAATTACTTGAGACCTGGAATGTTTTGCTTAGAAGCTGCTGCACCTAAATGCAGATTGATATTGTGTCTTTTGCACTTGAACATCATTTTGTGGAGGGGTCATTTGACATACTGAGATGTATAGTCTCTGGAGTATTTAGTTCGGTTTTCATTTCTTCAGGTTGCCTATGTTACTGGTACTGTGTTCATGTGGATCTCATCCTTCCTGGCTTCTTAAACATATTTATTTGTTATAACCATGCATCTCTTGCTAAATCAAAGTTTCTTCTCATGTAAATCATAATTGTATGTGTTTTTTTAATCCAGCTTTGTTATCATTTCAAATTTCTCTCCCTACATTGAAACAGATGAATGAACTATCACTGTTTATTTTCTCATGGGAAAAAATATACATGCAATGTAACTATTCTAAAAATTAAATAAAAAGGATATTTAAAATTCTTCTTTTTACTCATCAAGGAAATGACCATGGATCTATATTCAAAGCAGGTTTACATCAAATTTGATTTTGAGATAAAATCAAAGTTGTCTTTGACCATACTGTTTTTGAGAATTTCAATGTGGACAGGAATGATTCTCTTGAAAATCTGTGATGTGGTATATGTTCTTCCTAGAGGTGGTTGGAGAGTAATGGAAAAAATAGATACTTTGAATCCATATTATCCTACTGACATTCTTTTTACTTTGCAAAATGTGCTCACCAATTGATTTTTCAGTTGCTAATGTTTAGAAATAAATATTACCTCTTAATAAACAGAACCCCTTAAATGAAAGATATATCCTAATTGTATAAAAGTGAAATAATTCTGAGTTTGCAGTGTATCAACTCTTGGGAAGAAAATTGC